GCACTACACAACCCTCACTACTGTACAGACACCACTTGCTTTGTTACCCTCTTCTTATATCGCCCTTTAAATTGACTCGGTATTAGGATTTCTGTTGTTGGGTTATTGTACACGGTAAAGATGTTGCGGCTTACCTTGAGAAAGAGATAGTGAGGATGGCGTAGTATGGCGTGTAAGGATGAAGTAGCTAGCAGCTCTGAGCGAGGATGTCACCGCGCACTCACACTACGCACTTGTCCTACACTGACCCACCCTAAATACTTCGCCCAATTTCGCCTACTTGTGTCCCTTGTGCCTCAGGTACTTTTTTCTTTTCCGAACAAAAACCTATATTGTCCAAACTTTTTACAAAATATTAAATTATTTTTCATCATATAACAGAATCTCCTGTAATCATACTTCATTATAATCGATACAAATTCTCACGTAACGCATTTGTTTTTCGTTGTACTGACAGCTCAGCTTTATATCCCTTTAAAGGGGGATTTGTGTATAAGTATTGGGTATTGTGTTGTGACCATAACTGCGTTCATATATGATCAGCGACGATCAATATTAAGAGAATTTTCCAGACATCTCCTCCGGGTCAGAAAGTATCGTTCGGTATCGACCACACCGAGGCTCCTTGCGTCAGGGAAGAGGGTCGAAGGCTCGCGGGGACAAGACTGCGCATGCGAGATCTACAAACACACTACAATGTATACATGCTCGTATAACTACTGTTTACCGTCAGCACTACAGACTCGCCAAAAACTATCAACAAAGATTTGATAACAACAACAGCTGAAGCTCTGTATGGTGGGTCCATCAGAGAGGGATTTTATTGGTGACGTCATCGGCGACACTAACAACAGGTGGCGGGCTCATGGGACGGGATTCTAAGAGGTTCGTATATAATATTTCCTCGTAACCCAGTTGACCGTTAAGCTGCGTCACAAACATGTTCATAATGACGTCAATACATTACTGGGAATGACGTAACAAGATGCGTTCTGTTATGCGTAATTTAAAGAACAAAAGTAACCCATATAGCTTTGAGAATTTTGTATCCTGACAGATGCTGAGTGAACGCATTCAGTGAGTCAGTGTGTAATTGTGGTGCTATTTTTGTACGTTATTTGGGGGCTTTGGGTCAAGTCTGCCAGTTGGGTGCATTATTACATCTTAGAATACGAGGACTATTTGTAATTTTTATTTATATTTATTTTATTCATGTTTTGAGAGTCCAGAAGTCCAGATGACGGGTGGCAATGTTAAGTGTGGGTTAAGTCTCTGTTCTGGGATTAAATTATGACAATAGCCAGCTGGAAGAGGTGTGGGGTGGGTCGCTGGGGGAGAATGCGAGTGGAGGGTGACGGGGGAGGAGGCGAGTGAGGGGGAGAGGAGGAGGAGGCGAGTGATGGGGAGAGGAGGAGGAGGCGAGTGATGGGGAGAGGAGGAGGAGGCGAGTGAGGGGGAGAGGAGGAGGAGGCGAGTGGGGGAGTGAGGGGGGCCACGACGTCTGTGAGATCTTTAACACGTGTGAGTCTCGAATGCGGCTTTTTTCCTTAATTATTAATTCATCTGTGATAAAAAAACCCGCGTTATTTCTCTCACACTTCACTAACATTAAGGTCTACAGTGGCGATATTGTGAGACTCCTCTTCTTGCAATAACAATCACGTTCCGGGCGGTCATTGTTCGCGGCTGGTGATTGACGCGGTGTTCAGGGTAAACATTAAATTCCTGACTTCCCAGCTATGAAAGTTACGTGTCGTGCAGTACATGGCTGGACTGACTCCACCCCCACAATAAGACAGTAAAGAACTTAACTGTTCTTTTCTCAACAATAACATTATTACCTCTAACTCTTTAATTATTTCGCGTTTTAAATGTTTTATATCCTACAATGGGAGTTAAATGTAAGCTGCGTGTATGCATTGTCTAAACTCAAACACACGGTAATCTGCGAACGTCCCCAATCCCCTGGTTAGGACAATCGGGGTCATGTTTAACACGGAAGTCGTACAGGGTTATGGAGGGGGGCTAGTGTACGGCACACACACAAAAACTTGAAAGAAATTGTCCAATACACCAGAGATTATCTACCGAGGACACTCCTCTCTCATCTCCTTCATCCCTAACCCCCTGTGATCACCTGAATATTGCCTCCCAGTGTGTGTGTGTGTGTGTGTGTGTGTGTGTGTGTGTGTGTGTGTGTGTGTGTGTGTGTGTGTGTGTGTGTGTGTGTGTGTGTGTGTGTGTGTGATATAAGAACATAAGAAAATAAGGAGTCTGCAATAGGCCGGTTGGCCTGTGCATGGCAGCTCCTGTCGAGAGTTACTACCACTCTCTATCATCCATGAATCTATCTAGCCTCCTTTTGAAACTTTCCAGCGTTCCAGCACTTACTACAAAGTTGCTAAGCTTGTTCCACTCGTCCACCCTATTTGTGAACCAGTTTCTTCCTATCTCCCTCCTAAACCTAAACTTATCCAACTTGAATCCGTTGCTCCGAGTCCTATCCTGCTCGGATATTATAAGAACTTTATCTATATCCCCTTTATTGATTCCTTTCACCCACTTAAAACTTCTATCATATCTCCCCGCACTCTTCGTCTTTCTAGGGAATGCAAGTTAAGTTTCTTTAACCTATCCTGATATGGAAGGTTTCTAAGTCCCGGAATCATTTTTGTCATTCTTCGCTGCACCGACTCTAGTGAATTTATATCCATTCTATAATAACCGAATGAACCGCATCGAGGTGCGGCCTGACTAGCGCAAGATATAGTTGCAATAAGACCTCTGCACTCTTGTTACTTACACTTCTAGATATAAAACCCAATCCTCTGTTTGCCTTATTTCGAACATTAACGCACTGTTTTCTAGACCGTAGGTCCGGGCTTACAAGTACCCCTAGGTCTCTTTCACAAGTCGACTTCTCTAGGTTGATGTTGTTAAGGCTGTATACATTATAAGCCTGCCGCAGTGGTGGTCTACTTTACCATTCGTCATAACTGACATTTTCTCTGTTGAAAAATCAATGCGTTCATTAATGCATGGCCGCCGTTGTAACTCTGACAAGGAGCAGTGTGAGAGAGAGAGGTAGAGCCAGTAAGAGAGAGAGAGAGAGAGCCAGTAAGAGGTAGATGGCAGGAGAGAGAGAGAGAGAGAGAGAGAAGGTAGGAAAGAGAGATAGATGCAGAGAGAAATTGAAAGGTAGAGTGAATAAGACTGAAAGAGAGGAAGAGGGAGATAGAAAGAGAGACGGGAGGGAGATTAAAAGAGAACGAAAGAGGAGAAACTTGAGAGAGCGAGAGAAGGAACGATGGAGAGAGTGAGAGAGATTAACATGGCGAAAAAGACGATGGGAAGAGAAAATGAGAAAAGAAGATTGAAAGAGAGAGAGGGAGGGAGACGAAGATTGAAAAACAGAGAGAGATTACAATATGTTTATCATCAGGATGCATTAGAACACTTTACACGACGCTTATATTAATACCTCGCTATTTTGTTTCACGTTACTATACCTAAAGTAGATTAGGCAAGGTTAAGCCAGGTAAGGTTGGGTTGGGTTAAGTCAGGTTTGGTTGGATTTGGCTACGTAAGGTTTGGCTAGGCTACGTAAGGTTTGGTTAGGGGTTTTTTTGTAACTTCATTTATATGTATTTTCATGATCTACAATTCTAAAGTTTCCAAAACAAGATAAATACATAGGGAGTTATCGTTCAATTGTAATTATACCTATCTAGCGTAACATATATTTCCTAGTTAATTTATGGCAGGCTATTATTACCCTGTACTCGGTGTGACGGGTCAGCAGTAATAGTGTGGGGTAATGGATGTTTGGTTCACACTCAGGATGTGATGGAGAAAGGAAACTCACTATGTGCTCTCTGTATACATGTTGTATTGGATGTACAATGCAGCTTGTTGCTGGGAAGGCAGCATGGTTACAAGCGTAATGTAGAGAGAGCTGGTTGGTGAGGATGCTCAGAGGAGGACCAGCTTGTGGGTCGCCATGCTCGCCGGCGGGAGCGAGGACCACCAGGCAGGCGGAGGAGGAGGAGGAGGTGTTGCTGGCTGGTTGGTGTAGGTAGAAAAGAGACAGGTCACCACGAGGTCAGGTCTTAAATAGCGGGGGGTAGGCGTGGCTTAGTAGTTGACCCCAGCTCCGTGATGTATGGCGGCGCTGGTTGACCTAGACCACGAGGCATACACTGGGGAATTGTTGGGGTCGGCTACTCAGCGACAAACAGCGTTTGTAGGGGAGAAATCCACTACAATAGAATATGGGCCGGGGGTTACGACCCTTTCATCAGAGTGCCACGCCTCCTGACCTCCTATAATGACGTGTTCTGACCTAACCTATCCTTAGCTGACCTATTCTGGCAAGTTGTGTCAGGCTACTGCTTCACCCCTGTCACTTAGCTTTTATGAACTCTCTCTCTCACAAAAATAGTTCTCTGAGTAGTACAGTCGCTCTGTAACAGGTGACGCTGTAGTAAAATTTTGGGACCTTTCTGGGAATGTTTCAGTTGAGCTTCCTTGTTATATATTCCTTGGTGTAGGAGTCGAGCTCTTTAATTCTCCCAAAGACAACAGTAAGTTTAAAGGGATGGTTTGCGATTAAACAAGTTTGGTCTGGTCATCCGACTACATTGCTGCTTCTGAAAATCTTGGTTTAATTTTTCATTATGATTATACAGCAGCATGTTACCGAATTACAGGTTTATTACCGTTTTTAGGTGAACTTTGTGAGGCGTAACGTTTTAAATATTTAAATAGGCTTACCAACATAATTTTTGTTCATAAGATATAAACAGACTTATCCTATCCTCATCACAGCTAATCCAATATTATTAAATCAGATTATAATTGGGTTATATTTGGTCTTCTTGGTTTATGTCGTCTACGTTCAAGAAAAAAAAATACTTAGCTGTCCAGTTTGTAGTAACTTAACCTTGACCATGACTTCCAGTGACAATGTCTCGGCGGAGGATTGGTTGAATTGGGTAAATGTTTGTTCTGTCATTTTATCCATCGAATTTCTTCATTCTTTAATATTAGTCTGTGACTTCGTCTAAAAAAATTATAATAAATAGTTTAACAAATATTTCAAACTTGGTACAGTAGTAAAGTTATTGTTTGTGTCAATCCTTGTTGACGTGAGCCAACACTTACGGCCTTAACACCTCAATTTGGTAGTGAAATGCCTAAGTTTTCCGGTGCTTCAGCTACTCAAAAAAACGCCAATAGACCTGAAATTCAGTAACAATCTGCTGCATAGCCTGAATGAAAAGTTAAACCACAATTTTCATTAGTTCAGTAACAATGTTGTCGGAGATCAGGACAAACTTACTAACAAACCTTCCCTTTAAATTTATTGTTGTTGTCTTTGGGAGAATTAAAGAGCTCGGCTCGCACACTGAAATATTTCACGTATTTGTTAAGTAACATAATCTATGATGGTATAGATGTACGGAAGAAATGAAAACAAGAATAGGGTAAGCAAAAACAGTACTGTATTTAATAATCTAAAACGGGCGGTCCGACTAATTACCCAAATGTAGCCGCAATGAAGTCAAATAATGGTCCTACATGAATAAATCAGGCTGTGAATCACTTCTCGATTATTATTTGGTGTCATAAAGTAAAAAAAAATTGGTAAACTTAATTTAATCTGAGTTGTGTTAGGTTAGGTTAGCTTAGGTTAGGTTAGATTAGATTAGATTAGGTTAGGTACATGCACTTGATCTATTAACTCAGATTAAATTAAGTTTACCAATTTTTGTGACTTTGTGACACCAAATACTAGTCGAGGTTAGGTTAGGTTCGGTTCGGTACATGCACTCGATCTATTAACCCAAATGAAATTACGTTTTCCAATTTTTTTTACTTTGTGACACCAAATACTAGTCGAGAAGTGATTGGTAACCCGATTTGTTTATGTAGGACCATTATTTGACTTCATTGCGGCTACATTTGGGTACATTTGGGTAATTAGTCGGACCCCTAAACGGGTATTATTATCGTTTCGGTCATGCTGTGAATTTAGGTTAGGTTAGTTTAGGTTGAAATTATGTTTTTCTGATGTTTTTTTTTTATGGGTTTTGAACGATTCTGACCTTCGGAAAATAGGTGCATGACCGAAACGGTAATTTAAAAAAAAAAAAAAAACTACTGAAAAGAGACATTACCTTTAATTTGAGAAAAAAGGCTGCTGAAAGGCTTTTTATGGTAAGGACTGATGTATGGGTCAGAAGCGTGGACACTTTCAGCAGACACCACGAAGAGGTTGGAGGCCTTTGAAAGGTGGTGTTATAGGCAGGAAAACAAATGAAGAAGTACTAATCTTAGCAAAAACTTATAGCAAAATACTTAAAATGTACAGAAAAAGAAAAATTAGATAGTTTAATTGGCTAATAATACGACTGGTGAATGTCATTGGTTCGGTAATTATGGAGGGTGTTTTTAGACAGAGTTTTGCATGCTGATTAATTTTACTTCTATTTATTTTCTTGGGAAAATGTTCAGTTTTCGAGGTACAGTGAGTTCTGCTATAACACGTGTTTTGATAACGCGAATTTGCTGTAACGCGATTTATGAATTAGGAACGATATTTGTATAACGCGAACGCTTGTTTGCTATAACGCGATTTTTGCTTACTATTTCTCCAATTTTGTGGTAAAGTGGGGTATGCTATAATGAATCTAATTGGTTCTAGAACCTTGTTCGTTATAGCATTCGTTTGTTATAGGATTAATCCATTCCAGGCCCCCAAATACAACCACTTAACACTGAAAAATATAATATAAAATTGTAAAAATTGTAAAAAAGTGCATAAATATGCATCTAAACCCCTGAAATAAAGAATATCATTAATATTTGTAATAATAAAACAATAAATTAGAAAAAAAAAATTTAAATTATGTTCGTTGTAGGAGTTTCGTTCGTTATAGCATTCTCAATTTTATCGGTAAAACCGTTCGTTATAGGAATATTCGTAGTAGGATCCGTTCGTTATAGCATACCCCACTGTATTAACTGTGAATATAGTAAAGAAGAATATCAACAAGAAGCGTTCTGGTGATAGAATTCCCGGTGATGATCGTAAAAGAAAGGATATAACACTTGAAGAGAAGCTCGATTTTATCAACCTCAAAATCACCCTTCTCCCCCATCAAGTAAAGTGTTACATTTACTGTATGATTTCATTATTAGATATGAATGTAACATTTATTTAGACTGTGCTATCCTTTGTGTTAGGCTAACTACTAAATTTTTTCGATTTCGAGTAATCTGCACCTAACCCTATTTTCTCCATAAGCCCTGTTATTTCTATTACGCGATTTTCTATAACACGATATTTTACAAGAACACAATTATCGCGTTATAGCAGAACTACCTGTATAGGCACGTTAAAATGGCATCTTGGTCACTTCATCAGCTGTGATGCGGTATATGGAAACCGTGTAATGTATGGTGGCTGTCAGCGGTTCACTAATTATGAGGGATGTGACCTTCAGGTTTGGCAATTGTGAGGGTGTTTTTAGTCACAGTTTTTTATGCTGGTTACTTCCAGTTCTATTAATTTTCTTGTGTAAATGCTTAGTTTTCTAGATACAGTATAGGTGAGTTAAGATATAGGTTAGGTCAGGTCAGGTCAGGTCAGGTTTTCTTAGGTTTGGTTAGGTTAGCACATGGTTTCAGCCAATTTTATATTTTTTCCCAACAATACAGTGTCTCCTCATTAAATTTGTGAAAACTTGGCATTTTTAAATCCATTTTTAATGAAAAACAGCGGACTGTCATTATCCGAATAATTACACTTTAGGCATATAATTAGGGATGAGGGGGTTATAACAGAAATATAAATGGGCAAAGTTTAGGGTAGGACCTGGCTGGGGAAGGCAGAGACTGGGTCCCCAGAGAGATACAAAACCTTAGAGGATTGGTAAAAACAGACAGAGAACGTTTAGAGTGGAGCACTGTGGTCACCAACCCTCAGATATGAGGACGGTACTCTGATTGATACGAGTGAAACCTGAATATAACAGACGTCTCTCTCTGTATAATCCATTAATTGGGGGGTTTTACATTTAATGGGCCCTTGATATAATGGATTTTCATTTCTTTATACAGTATTGTAGTTTGTTAAATTGAGGTTTATCATCTAACAGACCCTCAGTATAACAAACTCTCCTCTTCATATAGTCCGTTAAATAGAGGTTTCACAGTTCTTTGAGATTAGGCCCCCCTAGGATTGAGCCTCAGTCCTAATGATTAGTTTACATTTGGTATTATATTGGTCTGGGATCACTGAGGTTCATCTCTATGTATGCCATGACCCACTGATTATATATGTCACTTACATGATTTTTTCTTGGAGACGATGGTAAATATTCATACAGTGATATCCCCATTAGCCGGAACAATTGGTGCAGAGCACTTCCGGGAATGAGAGATTTCCGGGTAACGAGACGACTCTCTGAAAGCCAGAATAAAATCCCTCATCTCCGGAATTTTCAAGGTAACGGAAAAATGTTCTCAGAAGTTCCAGAAAATGTGCCTGGTTTTCATCTCTCAAACCTGGAAAAAACTCCCCCATCCCCGGAATTCTCCGGGTATTGGGAAAATTTTCTCGGAATTATCCGGAAAATGTGTCCCTTGGAAAATTTTGGCCAAAGCCGGAATTTTCTGGAAAATTCCGGCTTTGGGAACGATTTTCCGAGAAAATTTCAATTCCGACTATCGGAGAGTTCCGGGTTTAAGGGATTCCGGCTAACGGAGATGATATTGCATATGGTAATGGATAATATCAGAAGAAGTTGTTTGATTACATTAATTTATTTCACAGATGTTCTTTGGGTGATATAGTAAAGGAAATATCTCCATTGGCTGAAATCCCTCTTAGCCGGAATTTTCCAATAGCCGGAATTTGAATTTGCTCATAATTTTTCCAGAAAATCTCTCTTTATTCTGGGTTTGGGAATGAATTTCCCAGGTTGAAAATCGGGCACATTTTCTGGAAAATTCTGAGAAAACCCCAGCCCAACCCAACGCAACAATTTACCTAAACCAACTCGACCAACCCAGTTCAATGCAACAACTTAACCTAATTAGCCTACCAAATCTATTTCCCTCTTCTTCAAAGTCCTGTTTACTTTGTGGGTACTGTATTAATATTGAAGGAGGAGAATGGAACCATAACTCAAAAATAAAGCATTAACACAAGAAACAGTTATCATCAGTGTGTAGATTAAAAAAAAGTAAAAACCACGTTTCATTGGTGGGTCGAGGAGCCGGTGTTTTTTATATACTGTACTGTACTGTATAGTATTAGCCCAGGTGATTTAAACTGATCTAACATCATTTATGTTTATAAACTTGTAAATATGTATGGTGAAATTGTTTATTTTCAGTCTGTAAATACAGGTACAGTACTCTTAGTTATTAACAATTAAAGATTATGAGAGATGCATCTCTGGGGTGTACAGTACAGTACCTGGGTATAAGATGGGTAATGGTGCAGTATAGATGTACTGTATTGCACTGTGCTGTACTGTACTGTAGTGTACTGTACTGTACTCTGGTACAGTGGCACCTACTTTATAGAATTGACAAAAATATTACAAGCAAATGAACTCAAGTGTAATATAGAATATTTTTGTAAGATAATTTATTTATATATGATTGTCAAGTTGTGTGATCAGTCATGTAACCAAATGATGGATTTTTTTTTTTTTTAGTGAAACAGTAAAATAAATGTTTCACTTGGGACGGGTTAAATCCTAAGCTGACCTAACCTTATCTTATCAAACTAACTTAACCAAGCTAACATAACCAACTTAATCTTAATCTAACCAACCTAATCTAACCTGAGATTAGGTTAGTTTGGTCATTTTGTGAAATGATTGATTACACAACTAGACTGTAACATATACTGTATATACTGTACTGTAATTGGCTTCACAATCATGGCTAAGATACATGTACAATTGTACAGTAATGTGAAACAAATATTGTATAATTAACTATGAATATTGAGAACAGTGTAAAGCTTTGGCTACCTAGATCAGTACAGTATACATTTTAGAGCTTTTCATTGAAAATTATTTTGCCATTTTGAAGACTTTTAACCATTGTTGTAGAAGGTGCTCTTGAAACACTGAGGGACGATAATATTTTGTGGAAGATGGGAAGTGGTTACGAGTGGTCATGTTTCAGTGTTGGTTGTCAGTATCGAGAACATATTTGTAGCTGAAAATATGTAGAAATGATGTTTTATGGCTTGTGTACATAATTCTTCTGTAGGCTTAAAAATTGTGCTTAAAGGCCCTCCGTTTCATTGTCATTGTAGGTATGTGTATTTGTCAAAATTCTAGTTAGTAATTGTCATACAACACTGGATATGATATATTGTATTTGATTTAATAACTGCAGTACTTCTACAGCACGTGCGGAAGTGTACAATGAGACATCACCCACTACAGCAGCAGGCAAGGTTGGCTGTGACTCTCAGGAGGTCAAGATGACTGAGGCAGAGAAAAAGGTAATAATATTGTATTGATTTATTTTATTTCATGTTTTAGTATATGCTTGTATGTCACCACTGTATTTTGAATTTTCTTCTAGACAATCTCTTGTCTAATTTTTTTAATCTAGCAAGCTGGAATCAATGACAAGTACAGATACACTTTTCATTTGCTGTCATTCATTTACTCTCTAGTGTTGTGACATCCCCAGAATGTCCATACCCTTCATCCCCATCCTTCTATCTGCTCTTACTCTCATCATCATCTCTGAATTAGGCAGTCAATGGCCAACTCTTTGTTAGATAAGAGTATCTCCCATAAGGGGTTATTTTATGCTCCTTTATGCCCAATTGTAGGGCAGAGGGGAATACTGTTATGAAGGGTTTATTATTGGAATACGACCATTTCTTTTCTCATTCGATGATTTTAATGACAGCTTGTTGTCAAAAGAACATAGTTTTCATAATCATCATGTTAGCACTTGCATTGGAGGAATATCTGAACCTATTAACAGGTGTTGAAATTTGGATATGTTATAAAGTGAAAACTTTCAGTATGTTATCTGACACACAACTTTGTGCCTTCAGTGTACATAGTGTATATCTAGAACTACTGTAATTATATAGTTACAGTTAAACCACATATATCAGACTTCAAGAACTGTATATTGGAATTCACTTCCTTTTTTTTAAACTACTGTATGTGCTGCTCTGGACTGCTCCTCTATTTACCAGAAATGTTTTTAAAAAAGGTGGAAAATCCAGTATCATTAGTTTGTGCAGTTGAACGTCTGAGTGTCGTGCGAAGTATGTCTTACTGTCTCAGACTCTGAACCTGAGTCTTGCCTTTATATGTTTAGTAGCAGTGTGCTGCACCTCGCTACCTACTCTCATTTACCCGAACTCTTTTTGGTGGAGTACGTAGTATCTTTAACGGGAATATATACTAGAGGGTTTTAAGAATGGGTTAAAATTATGTAAGGGCTAACAGAAAAGCATTGTGGGAGGTATTACAAGTGTATGTGGTGGGAGGAAGGTTATTAATGCAGTAAAATACTTCTATAAGAACAGCTGGGCAACAGTAAGAGTAAATGGGAAAGAAAGTGAAACATTTGAAATAAATGTGGGTGTTAGACGGATGGGTTATGTCCCTGTGGTTGTTCAATATAGACATGGATGTGAACTATTATACACTGGTGAAACTGGTGATAATAAGTTTTCTTACAGGGCAGCACACATCCTGATTATAAGGGAGCCAAGTTACCATTGTCCATTATAACTGGTGACTGCTTTTGTTTATGGTTGGGCTCTGATTCTAATGTGTTCAGATTATGTGTTATATAGGTCCAGGAGAGCCAAGTTGCCATTATCCATTTCTCTCTGCAACTGTACTTAATGAATTCTTTAAAACTCTCAACTGTAAAAGTAGAATAGTTTTCCATGTATTAAGATGAAATTGAACTTTGTGTTTACCTTTAAGCATGTGGGATGAGTCTGGGTGGCTGATCAAAGCTTGTTTCTCAAATTCGTCCTCTGCAGTGATTTTTTTGAGATGGAAAGGAGTACAAGTGATTGCTAAAGCATCCTTAATGTAATGTTCATGATTTAACAGCATATTAAAAAGTTATAAAAGGGGCTACAAATACTTAAAAATTATTAAAACTAACATAATAGCATTAAAAGAAGTGGTTTAAAAAATGGGTTTGGGTTAAAAAAAATAAATTGTCAGTCCTGGCTGTAGTCACTCCTATTTTTGTCCAGGAGAGAGATGGCTAATGCTTGTGAAAATGTGTGTGTGTGTGTAGTATTAATAATAATAAGAAGAATTAATTGTTTATTGAAAAGCACAGCAGCCAGAGTAAAATTACAGTATACAATTGACAAAATAATGTCTCAAAGTATTAGACATGGCACCATTAGGGAGTAGATTGTTTAACAAAAGCTTTCAATACAAAAAGGAAACATGTAGTTAACATACAGGTTATAAGTAATACCCCTGTTAGCTGGAATCCTTCAAACCCGGAACTTTCCAATAACCGTAATTTAAATTTTCTCGGAAAATCGTTCCCAAAGCAGGAATTTTCCGTAAAAGTCCTGCTTTGGGAACGATTTCCGAGGAGCACATTCTCTGGAAAATTCCAAGGAATTTTTCAAGTACCCGGAAAATTCCTGGGAAGTGGGACCTTTTTTTTCTGGTTTCAAAGATGAAAATTAGGCACATATTCTGGAAATTCCGAGAACATTTTTTCGGTACCCGGAATTGTTCCGCCTAACGGAGATATCACTTGTATATGAGTCATTAATAATTTGCTGCTGTAGAGTAAACACGTGGCTGTAGGCTGTTTCCCGGCTGGTGCTGTAGAGTAAACACATGGCTGTAGGCTGTCTCCCGGCTGGTGCTGTAGTGCTGTAGAGTAAACACGTGGCTGTAGGCTGTCTTCCGGCTGGTGCTTCAGAGTAAACACGTGGCTGTAGGCTGTCTCCTGTCTGGTGCTGTAGAGTAAACACGTGGCTGTTCTCAACAAATATCAATAAAAAAAAAATTAAAATGCAATCACATATGTAAAATATATTTTATATGAAAAACAGAAGATTCACCTTTATTCCTTACACTCATCACCACCAACAAGTCACCACCAACAACACCACTCACCACCACCACCAACAACAGTCACCACCAACAACAACAGTCACTACCACCAACAATATGTAGTCACCACCACCACCAACAGTCACCACAACTGCCAACAACTGCCAACAACAGTCACCACCAACAACAACAGTCACCACCACCAACAACAATAGTCACCACCACCAACAACAATAGTCACCACCACCAACAGTCACCACAACCACCAACAACAATAGTCACCACCACTGCCAACAGTCACCACCCCAACAACAACACTCCTCGCCACCAAGAATAACAGTCACCACCAACAAGAAGTCACCACCACCACCTCCAACAACAGTCACCACCAACACTCACCATCATCACCACCAATAACACTTACTACCACCAACAACATTCTTCACCACCACCAACACTCACCACCAGTACTCACCACCACCACATTCCCGTCACCACCACTACCTCACTCCCATGACCACCAGCTTAATTGATGTTTTAATTACTCTACTGTACTGTAGGGTCCAAACTTATCAGTAATAATGTTCTTAATATTGGTGGTCATAATTTAAACAAATACCGTGATGCCAGACGTAGAAATTCGGGAGTTAATTTGTTGAGGAGTATTAATACTAGTTTTGGGGTAGATTAAATTGAACTTAACCTAACCAAACTTAACCTTGATCTAGATGAAAATTTTATAATAGATAAAGTTTATACTAGTACTAAGTTTATGTCTTAAGGATAATAATTGGTTCTTGACTCATAAGGTCTACTCGAGTTATTATTGTTTTATAGCTTAACAAGGCAGTTGGTTTTATCTTGTCCAATACATATGTTTCATTTTGTAATACAGGCCGTCCCCGACTTACGACAGGGATGCGTTCCTGTAGCTACTTCACCCCTGAGCAGTTGCTTCAAGTATATGAAGGATTCATTGGTCCTAACTTGGAGTACTGCTCTCATATCTTGGGTGGCTCTTCTTCTGTCCAACTATTGATAATCTATCTTCTCTTCACCATGATGTTGCTTCACTCTTTCTCTTTAACAGATACTTTAACGGGCAATGTTTGGTGGATTTGGCATCCTGTGTACCGCCGGCAAGGCCGTGGGCTCGTAACACTCGTCTTGCCCGCGGTGCCCACCGTTTTTGTGTGGATGTCAGTCACACAATAATAACCCGTTATAGTACATCCTTCTTTACTCACACAGCCAAATTGTTTCTGTGTGGATGTCAGTCACACTATAATAACCCGTTATAGTACATCCTTCTTTACTCACACAGCCAAACTGTGTCTGTGTGGATGTCTGTCACACCATAATAACCCGTTATAGTACATCCTTCTTTACTCACACAGCCAAACTGTGTCTGTGGGTCACACTATAATAACCCCATTAGTACATCCTTCTTTACCACACAGCCAAACAGAAATGTGGATGTAATACATTATAACCTGTTATAGTACATCCTTTACACACACAGCCAAACTGTGTCTGCAGGTCACACTATAATAACCCAAGAGTAGTACATCCTTCTTTACTCACAGCCAAACTGTGTCTCTAATACACATAATAACCCAAGATAGTACATCCTTACTCACACACAACCAAACTGTGTCTATAGATCACATTATAATAACCTGTTATAGCACATCCTTTTTACTCACACACAGCCAAACTGTGTCTGGGCCACACTCATAATAACCCAAGATAAAAGACCCTTATTCACACACAGCCAAACTGTGCCTGTGGATGAGTCACACTTACAATAACACAATTATATACATCCTTCTTACTCTCACACAGCCAAACTGTACTCAGGATGGGTCACACCATAATAACCCAAGTATAATACATCCTTCCTTACTCACAGCCAAACTGCCATGTCTGTGATGTGGGTCACTATAATAACCCGCTATAGTACATCCTTCTTCCCTCACACACATTCAACCAGCCCGTGGATGTGGGCTCACACTATAATAACCTGTTATAGTACATCTCTTTACTCACAGCCAAACCAGGTCTGTAGGTCACACCATAATAACCCGCTATAGCACATCCTTCCTACCACACAACCAAACTGTGTACAGGGTCACACTATAATAACCCAAATATTACATCCTTTTACTCCGGTACAACCATGTCTGTGGATTGGGTCACACTATACAAACCAATCACATCATACTCACACAACCAAACTGTGTCTGTGGATGAGGTCACATTATAATAACCTGTTATAGTACATCCTTCTTTACTCACACAGCCAAACTGTGTCTGTGAGTCACATTATAATAACCTGTTATAGTACATCTTTTATACAGCCCAAACTGTGTCTGTGGATGTGGGTCACACTATAATAACCCGTTATAATACATCCTTCTTAACACACAACCAAACTGTATCTTTGGATGTGGGTCACATTATAATAACCGTTATAGTACATCTTACTCACAGCCAAACTGTGTCTGTATGCTACACTCATAATAACCCGCTATAGTACATCCTTCTTTTCCTCACTGTGGAATGCTCTGCCTTCTTTCTTGTTTCCATACTCACACAATTCGTGTCACTTCAAAAAACTTGGATTTTATCTTCTAATGTAGATTAATATAACCATTTTTATATTTATATTTTATTTTTACTGTGTTACACAAGTTGATTTAGTCACTTGTAGTTTTCTTATTTATATAATGTACTTTTATAAGAATATCATCTAAGGCAAAATATTCTGTTTCAGTTACTTTTGGCGTCACATCTCAAGACCAGGTGTAACTAAAGAAGTTCACAATGTCAAGCAGATAAAAAGTTCTCATGTGAAATATTTACTCAAGCTATATGAAACATTTACTTAGACACAGTGGTGAGAGTTTAAATGTGAGGAATGTGGGAAATGTTTCTCCGGTACTCTCAAGACACACTTTCTTGTACACAATAATGAAGGAGTTTGAATGTGAGGAATGCGGAAATGTTCTGCAAAGTACTCTCAAGATACACATTCTTGTACACAATGGTATAAAGGAGTTTGAATGTGAGGAATGTGGGAAATGTTTCTCCCTAAGAGTACTCTCAACACACAGTCTTGTACATGGTAGAGGAGTTTCGTATGGGAGATGTGGGAAACATTTTGCACTAAGGGTACTCCTAAAGAAACACATTCTTAGACACAATGGTATAAGGTTAGAAATGCATGAAAAGAATGGGAATGTTTCTTCCAGAACAGTGATCCTCAAGACACACATTCTGTACACAATGGTGTGAAAGGAGTTGAATATGAGGAATGGAAATGTTTTTCCCCAGGTTCTCCTCAAGACCACATTCTTGTACACAATAGTTGTGAGGCTTAGAATATAATGGAATAGGGAAACATTTTCGCAAAGAGTAGTCTCAAAGACACATTCTTTCACAATGGTGCCTAGAGTTTGAATGAGGAATGTGAGGCATTTTCACTAAAAGAGTAATCTTTAATACACATTCTTACAGTATCAAAAGAAGTTTAAATGTGAGGAATGTAGGGAAATGTTTCCTCCCAGGGTAATCTTCAAACACACACATTCTTGCACAGGTATAAAAGTTTAAATGAATGTGGGAAATGTTTCTCCCAGAGATAATCTTTCAGACACACATTCTTGAACACAGGGTATAAAGAAGTTTCAAAATATGAGGAATGTGAAATGTTTTCCCCAGAAAAGTACTCTCAAGAGACACATTCTTGCACACAATGGTGTAATGAGTTTAAATGCAGAGAATGTGAAAATTTTCTCCCAGAAGAGTACTCACAAGACACACATTCTGTACAATGGTATAAAGGAGTTTGAATAAGATAATGGAAATGTTTATACAATGGTTATCTCAGACATCCATAAACTATTACATAGAAAAAAGCAGAATTAAATAAATGTTTGAATGACTTTAACAGAAAGGTAAATGTGACAAACAAACTTGAATACAGTGATATACATTAATATAAAACCACTTGAACAAACTCTATGAATATAGAAATAAAGATAAGCACAAATACACTTTTATAGATATTAAACACGCTATAATTATCTGCTTAAGAATGTAATTTCTTCTATGGCCTTAGTGTAGACACTTGGTGTTGGTTAAATATCACCATATACCCCATTTTGTTTCATCAACCTTTTAAAAATGTTATTTATTATACAGATAGTGAACAAGGTTAAACTTATTGTCTGTAAAATTTTAAAATCTTTAATGGATAATTAGTTGCATCAATAGACATCATACCATGTACATCTGTCTTTATTTACGTGAAAGTTTTATCATAAGTCAAGATACATTAACACAGGTAGTAAATCATCTTGGTAAAGTAGTACAGTGATGGTAGAACTATTGTATAGTCAAGGTGTTGTCATTTGCTCACAGAACCTCTTCAATCTCTGTTGAAATTATCTAAATATTTGATAAGTTTTGCTCAACTCTGACGAGATATTTTGATATTTTATCTAGACTAAATGGTTGGTAGTTTTGATTCATGTTCATACTCAAATATATTCCTTCAACACCACCACAGATATATGGCACCAGTAGTAAATAATGATTTGGGTTTCAAATAGTACCTGGTGTTATGGGCAGATGAACTTTAACATCTTAACTGTATATAATATCATGTTGAATATATTTTCATACAGCATCTTGGACATTATTAGGTAACTAATGTAGCCAAAGAAATGCAAACTCTAGCTAAATTTTTTTTTTTTAGGTCATAATAAAGTAGAAGACTTGGACATTAACATACAGCAATTAGATATATGCTGCCTCATATACAAATTTAAGCTAATAGTTCTGGCCCGTAATTTAATCTAACATTGGTATTTAAACATTATTGCTCCAAGAATGGCAT